AAACTTACTATACTTTACATTTGTGAAACAATAACTAACTTTTAAGAAAATACGGGATTTTCTTGGTGTTCATAACATTTCAGAAACAGAAAGGAAACTCGAAACATTTTCACAAACAAAAACCACTTATGAACTCACCAGCTTTATGCTGATTTTCAAATCACTTGTGTTCTCAGGTCAGCGTTATAACAGGTACTCGAAGATCCTTTTTGCTTGAAGACAGTGTACATGAAGATCCGTTTCATTTTGTTTATATATACTATGTATCACAACTGTACAAACTTTACTTTTGAAACAACTGTAAAAACTTTATTATGTAATGTAATGGTTGTTTTACTTTACTTACTATGTGCATTGGATTTGATACTCAACGTGGAGTCAACCCCGAAAATGTTTTCCGCCTTCGGTTTTCTGTCACATAGGCTATGAATCCATTACAGCCATGCTGCAAACTCTGCTTTGCCCTGGTAGCCGAACAAAACGCCGACTCACACCGGGTCCCTTCGCCATAAACCGTAAGCACTCCCCCACAAGGGTCTCGAATCATCACCAGCTGTCTCTCGCAGTCAATGACTGCTCCAAACTTACTCAACCAATCCATTCCCACGATAACGCACACATCTCCCATAGCTATAGGAACCAAGTCTATAGGGAACTCGACCCCAAAAATCTCGAGCACGCATCCTCGAATCACCTCAGTGGCGTATACCGCTTTCTCATTTGCTATAGCAACTCGCAGGGGTCGACTCATCACCTCCCGATCAATACCGATGTGCTGGCTAAAAGCCAACAAAACAAAAGACCGACTCGCACCCGAGTCAAATAATACCAAAGCAGGCACATAATTCACAAGAAAAGTACCTACGCATATCATAATATAAGCACAATATCTCAGTATAAAGGTAAATACATGAAAGAATACATACCAGCTACGACATCAGGCGCCGCGCGAACCTCCTCCGTAGTCAACTGGAAAGCTCTCGCACGAGCCTTCGGAGCCTCGTCCTTCACTGGCCGAACCTCGGTAACCCTAGCAGTAGGCGTAGATCCCTGGCGAAGCTGGGGGCACTCGGCCTTCCGATGGGCGGTCTGGTTGCAATGAAAGCAGACCATGAATCCCTTGGGGAAATCCCTAGCAATGTGCCCCTCCTTGCCACACTTGTAGCAAGCACCCAATCGACATGCCCCCGCGTGACCCTTGCTGCACTTTCCGCAAGTGCGGCCCTTCTGACCTCCGGATCTCGAATCGGCGGACTTGGTCCGCTTGGCTGCCGGCTGAGACTGAGCCGGCCGCCGATCCATCCATTGAGACTCGGCCTCCTCCCTGGCCTGGGTCTCCAAATCGATCTCACGCTTCCTGGCATTCCCCTGAAGCTCAGCAAAAGTCTGATATGACGAGTTCGATACGAACTCCCGGATATCCCTCCTCAGCACTCCCAAATACCAACTCATCCGAGCCTGCTCCGTGGACACCTGCTCGGGGCAGAACATCGCCCTCTCATGAAACTTCCGCGTGATCACCGTGACAGAATCATTACCCTGCTTGAGGGTCAAGAACTCCTGAACTAACCGTTCCCTCTCCACTTGGGGAACGTACTCGTCTCTAAACATAGCAGTAAACCTCTCTCAAGTCACAGTTGAAACCTCTGCTAGAGTGAAGTTCGCCGTCACAAACTTCCACCAATCCGTTGCTGCCAGATGGAGCTAGTTCAAGGCGAACCGTACCCTCAGATGCTCCGGACATGAACAAGTGTAGAAGCATCCCTCGATATCAGCAATCCATCTCATCGCAGCGATTAGATCCTGCGTCCCGTCAAACTCAGGTGGCTTCGTGTTGCTGAACTCCCGGAACAGCAACGAGTCACCTCCCTGTGGTCTAGCAGCGGCCACAGCTGCGGTAGCTGCAGCGGCTGCGGCCTCAGTCAACACGGCGTACCGCTCATCAAATGTCTCCATCAGCATGGTCTTAATAGACCCAAACATTTCCGGAATCTCAGCCCGGATCGCCGCAGCTACCTCCTCATGAATCATCTGACGAAGCTCCTCGTCAGTCACACTAATCGTACCAGGTCTGTGGCGTGGTCAAACCATGATGTCTCTGAAATACAACATAAAAATATCAAAGACTCTATCGGGCATAATCGCACTCGATAACGCAGTCCTACTCAATCTCCGATACCCAGGGATTCTTACTTGGAATGCCCACTGACCCGGTGTCTTTAGTAGTACGAGCCCAATACTACCAATTACACCGCATCAGTATTCACCCCAAGTCCTCCTCCCCAAACCCCGAATCCTGAGTACTCTATTCTTGTCATACACTGGTCAACTTGGTCAACAGTCGTTGGTCAAATTGACCGGACTCGGCGAGTGCACTAGAGTGACTCGGCGAGTCTACGCGTTTTCACCCACTCACAAGGATTTTCCCTTTGACACGTCGAGTACTCCCCTGACTCGACGAGTTCCACCTGGTCATGAATCACGGGGCCTTCGCGACTCAACTCGCCGAGTCGCAAGGACAACTCGACGAGTCCCAACTCGACTCGGTCCACCTGTCAAATACCTTTCTAACTCTCTGTGACTCACTGAGTGACCCACAACTCGATAGGAATACACACTGGGTGGTTTTAAGGACAATCTTCAAGCTACTCATCGAGTCTGTTCTTCAGACTCGGCGAGTCCATGCCATGCATCAGCTAAAACTTGCTTCTGCGGTCAGATCCGTTTCATACACTCATAGATCTGGCCTTCCCAAGCTCATTTATCATGTAAAGTCTCAGTCTTGGTCGCCGTGCAACACATACAAGGCTCTTTTTGGGGAAATAACCTCTAATATGGCAACCCTAGTTTCCAACTCAAAAGAATGGACATAAAGCATATCATTTGGGGCCTTCTGGACCTGCTAAGGTTCAGATCTAGGTTCCATATCTCCATGGGACCTTTCACACTTCAAATCCAAGTCAACTAAGGCAAGAAGAAACCCTAGATTTGACATATCAACCAAAACACGAAGTTTAGCTCTGAAAGTTACCTTAAGAAGGTTCCCTTGATGAAATAGAAGCAGATCCAAGCTCCCCAACTCTTCAAGCTTGATCTTCTCCTTCTTTTCTTGCAATAACACACAAATTGATGAACAAATAGCCTCTTATCTCACTCACAAGGAATCCCAGCTGCTTTGGTGCACTCAAGGCTCAAGGTGGCCGCAATGAAGGGCCATAAGGTCCTTTAAATAGGGCTTAGGACCGGGAAATTAGGGTTTCATTAAACAGTGTGGACTCTCCGAGTCCATCCCTTGGACTCGCCGAGTCCAGATGCAAACCATCATCCAAAACCGCGACCCGACTCGACGAGTTCGACCTCCAACTCGCCGAGTCCCCTCACAAAATACCAAAAATATGAAAGTAAAGATACCTGGAGATCCGGGCTGTTACAGGGTAGTTGGTAGATAATTGTCTTTGTGATAATTATCTTAGTATGTTTATGTGATATGCTTATGTGATATGTTATGTGTGTTAGTGGTAGTAGCAGGGAATAGTTTTTCCTAGACTCGGTTGTTAGGACCGAAGGGTAGGTCAGTACCCTAGATATGCCTAACTGTATGATTATATCTTGTTATTGTATGATAATGGTAAGGGGTGAAATAGTCCCCGGTTACCAGTTGAAAGATTCCGATGGCGGATACTGAAGAAATGAGGAAAACTCAGCAAACCTAGACTAGAATAGTCCAAGTGTTGAAAATACTGAAACAGAGTTTCAGAATCATCCAGTGGCAAGTAGTGCGGAAAATAAAGAGTTATGAATCAATCAAGTTAATAGAAAAACGTTTTTTTAATGTTCAAGATCAATGATTCAAATGTTTCTCATGTTCATGAAGATTCAGTTACAAGTGTTTGAATGTAGAACACACTAAAACTCTCAAATGGCTCTTTGAAGACTAGTCTGGGCAACAATTTGTGCAGATGGAGCGGGAATGATCAGAAAAGAGCAACTTTATAATGGATCCCAAGGGGCCTATTTATAGGCTTTGGAAAAGCACATGACATGGCTTGACCAATCAGGTGTTGACACGTCTTCATGAATAAGTCATCACTTGACACCTTTGCCCTCCTTAACGGAGAATGGATGGAATATTTCAATTCCGTTAGTATTCCGTTAGGGTTCCATCCAAGTTATGAGTCCTCATAATTCTTGAACCTTCTTGATCAACATTGAAAAAGTGATGAGCAACATGAGCATCATGTTGCTCAATTGTCTTCTTAGTTGTCATCAACTTCTAGAAGTGTTGTTAATCATGTTCAGTAGTTTCTTGAATATTGGACTGTGTCTTCAACTTGAAGATATACCACCACATGTTCATGATGGCTCACGGATGAAATTCATGCTCTTTTGAGCATTTGGACGTGCCTTCATTGTACACGATAAGTCATGTGTAGTCTTGTTGAGCCATCAATGTGATCATGTTGATCCATTGACTTTAGTTGAGCCACCAAGTGTTCTTGTTGAGCCATCAACTCTTGTTGAGCCATAGAGTTGTAAATGAGTCAAGAATGTTTCTGATGAGCCGTCAATATTCCAAATGATCCATCAGTGTCTTGATGCTCCACATATGATCTAGATGTGCCATTTGAGATCATAATGATCCAACAAGTGATCCATGTCAACAGCAGGTGCTCCATGTAAGCTTCAAGTGCTCCAACATCTGATTCTTCAAACACTTGTTGAATCTTCAACATCTTTCCAACTTGAAACATTCTGATAATGTTTGTTAGAGATACATATAAAAGGACTCAGCTTATTTCAAGTGACAATCACATATAAGTATTTTCCAACAATTTCCCCCTATGTGATGGTTACTGAAATAAGGAGTAAAAATAAAAGTAGAAATAAAAGTAATAACACGCAAGATAAATTTTAGCAATAAGATAAGTTACCAGTAGCAAAAACATCATCCACATGTTCGAGAAAAAAAACAAACAAAACTAAAACTAAAAAAACATAATCTAAACTTTGTTTCTCAAGTTTATTAACCATTGCCGGAAACTCAAAAACCATGTAAGTTCTTCAACAATCTTCACTCTCAGCGATTCTTCTTGATCTCCTGTTCTCTTCAATAAACCGATGATGACATCAATGAATTCATAAGAGAATAGACGTTTTTGGGAGATTGTCATGAATTTTAGTCGACCTTTAGAAGAAAATACAACACCTCTATGTGGTTTCTTTAGAGTTTTTCCAGGAGACTCATTCTCCATATTCAGATTCACATGTGGTTCCTCAGCTTCCTTTTCTCCTAGGTATCCAATCTCCCAGTCAACACTGAAATCAATAACCATGTCGAGCACATATTGCCTTAGGTGTTGTAGAACATCTGCATAAGTTTTATCTGTACTCACCCTTTGTTTCAACCAAATGATTAGTGATCTGATATTAGCTTGGTTTATTCTAGGGAAATCATCTTCAGAACACATGAACTCAGAGGTGTCTCTCCTTCTTCCTTGAAAGAATGCATATGGCATTTTTCTAAATTTTCGTATGTCAATCTTGTTGATTAAAGCAATCTTGAACTTTGACCATACATGGACAACATGGATTGATTTCTTTTGAAAGAATCTTTTCTTTAGGTCTTCAATGTCTAAATCAACCTCAGTTGGATAAATTGCACTTGGCCATAACTTAAACTTCATACCATTCGGGGGTTAGGAATATCCTAGTTTTATTTAGTGAGGTCTGAAGGAGGTGTGAAGGAATTTGTGGGCTTGATGGCATTTACCTTTTGATAGGAATCTCTATCAGGGTTAAAGAAGATAGTTCTTTTAGGTGAAGACACTCTAAATTGTTTATCATGCCATGTACCCCTTTCTTCACTCGAGATCTCTAGAGATTTCTTTTTTCGAAGCATCTCTTGTTTAGACTTTAATTCCTTAGCCATCAGTTGCTTAGCTAACTCTTCATCTATCTGCATTTGAGTTTCTTTAGATAATTCCTTTTTATACTTGAGGATAATCTTCTGCTTTCCCTTATCGTTGGGATCACTGTGAGAAAGCTTTGACTGAGTAGTTGGTTCTAATATGATGACAGGTTTAGAGAAGTGGACATCTTTCCTTCTTGGAACTTTTAGAGATGCATCTTTGATCCCTTGTTGAAGAATGAGCTCCTTTTCTTTCTCAGCTAACATGGCTTTGTTCTATTGAGCCTTTAATCGTGCATCAGCAGCGATTTTGTCAAGTGACTATATTTTCTCATATCTCCTTTTCTCAAACTCATTTGGTGAGTCTGGAATTTGGTGTATGATAGGAGACTGACTTGATCTGTTCTTGTGGAACTTTTCCCCTTCTGGTTCAGGTGACCTCTCATTTGAACCAGATAGTTTTGCTAAGTTCAAGTCAAGTTTGGAATCAGTTGATGCAAACTTTTGTTGAAGAGCACATAGATATGAAGAGGAAGATTGTTGCTTGATAGCCTTGACTTCATCGACTAGCAACTGAACAGTCTTCTGAAGGGAAGATATGTCACCTTGCTTTTCTAAGAATTAGATTTGGATAAATTTGCTATGTCAAAGCTTAACGAATTCCAATTGACGTTGAACTTGCTCATTGAACGCCTGAAAGGGAGAGGTGGAGGATGATGCAGAAGCTTTAGATAGTTAAGCAATAGACTTCTCAAGAGTGGAGATATAGCGGTCTTGAGCAGTAACATGATTCTGCATATGATCCAATTTGGCTTCATAGAAAGACTCTAAATTGGATAAGGACTATATGAAGTCATCTATCTTTTGATTCATCAGAGAGAGACATGCTTCAATAGTGTTATGAATTTTCTAATCTAGAGTTTCAATCCTCCGCATGATGCGAGCAATTTTTCCTTTGATATAAGCAGTTGTGCCTTCGAAATCTTCAATAGTGACTTGAAGTGTTTTGACCCGTGCTTATGTTTTCTCGTTGAGGATACACATATTTTCTTCCATACATTCAAGATATTCTTGAAAGTTTTGCAGATATTCAGGGTGAGAAGATGTGTGAAAGCGAATCTCTGCAATACCATCAGCTACCATTTGGGCAGTAAGTCTGATGCGCTCAGGCTCTGTTTCTGTGGTATTGTCCTCATTTGTGTCTTTAGGAGTACTGTCGTCCTGAAGAGGATCTTGTGAAAAGGATGAGAGATTTGTTCGTTAACAACATATTTTTCTTGAGATTCTTTTGGAGTTGGAGGAGATTAATCATCAAGATCAATGGAAAAAGTCCTGGCAGATACAATGGAGTAAAGAACAATAGACACGTCATTAATTGGTCTTATCATCGACTATCAGTCCTTCACTGGAAGGGATATCGACCGTCCGCATTGGAGTATCGTCATCGGGATTATCTTGTACTGTAGAATCTTGAGGAAAATTTTCTGGTTCGGATTGCTTATCATCATCTTGGTTATCGTCCTCAAGTGAGTCATAATCCAAGGAGACATGATGGTTTGGACTTTCTAGAACCGACTGAATATGTGCTGGTGAAACTGGAGCTGAAGAAGATGGCTTATCATAATCAGATGGAGCGTGAAATAAGGAATATATGAAAGAGAATGACTTAGAGGTTGTACCAGATTTAGGGAGAGATGTGGGTTCCTCTAAATCTGCTCCATGATTATCATCAGAGATGGATAGAGATGAGATAGTGGGTGGTTGACTTGATTTGGATTTCTTCTTCTTCTTTGCAGATTTCTTGGATGCATGATCAGAATGCTTCCTCTTTTTTTTGGGAGGCGAAATAATTCCCTAGATGTATTTCTGATATGAGCATAGAGAAGCACTATTTTCATCCAACTTTGTTAGTATAGAATCCGAAATGATGATTGGTTGTGAAGACTGAAGACCCAGATTCAGATGTCGTACGAATCCGATATGGCGTCATACACAAGAAATGTGGTTGTGGGCCTTCTGGAATCCATCCTGGTGCAAGATTACTGTTATGGATGGCGTGATAAATAATGATTGACCACCAACGAGGATGATGAATCAAAAACTTATTCTTTGATGCAGGGAGAAAATTAAGGAAATCTTCCCAAAGAATAGACGCATAGTCAACATTGATGTCGTAGAAGAGCCCGTACATAAGAATCCAAAGGTCTGTTTTACCTTTTCTGCGTCCACCAACTGATCCGAATAGACATCTAGTGAGAACGAAACTGTGAAAGTGCCATGGTGTGGGAATACATGATTTCTGAATTCTTGAAATACATGGTTCTTGTTCGTCTTCAAATTTATACCTCATTTCCTTGAACATTGTCAATAATTGAGCAGAAGTTGGTGTGACAAAAGTCTGAGGTGTAGGAGAAATATCGCTTAGACCTAAACTGATTGCGAACTCTTCTTTAGTGAGGACCAAAGTAGCTTGAAAAAGATTAAATTCAACATCAAGTTGTGTGGACCTTGCTCTCGTGGAGATGACTGCTGACGGAAAGATTTTAGTGATAAGAGATTGTGGAGTTGGAGAAGTAGAAAGAAGTGCATATGCCAATGGGCATTTATGCAGATATTCAACTAAGACACCAACTTCTTTGGGTTGTTCCTAAGTGTTGAGAAGTGCGGTATAGTTGGATGCGGCCATTTCAACTTTAGGTGATGATGAGTGTGTTGCAGTTGAAGGTCCAGTGGCATGAGAGTGTGAAGCCTTATGAGAAGACTTTGCTTTAGAATTCAGACCATCTTCTATGGCAGCAATGTCTTGAAAAAGAATAGAAAAAGAAAAAAAATTAAAAATAAAAATAAAAGGAATTGTTATTTAAAGGAATATAGCTAAAAAAATAGCTTATAATCTTAACTAAAAGACGGGAGGGGGGTTGAAATGTGTGAATTTGCATTTACTAAACAAAGTTGTGACTTGAGTAGTATTTTTGATTCAACTATGGATTGGAAGAATCTGCAAATTCATTTTTACTGAGTATAGGCCAGAAAGCAAATTACGTGACAAGTTGAAATAGGAAAGAAAGAAATTGATGTCATATACAATAAAAAAAATTGATGTTACTAAATCATAGCAAAAGTGCAAAGATCAAGTAAAACTGCTAAGTCATGGCCTATGATGACTATGGCACATCAAATGAAAATGTCTTTAGAAATTTACATAAAATTAGATGTCGAAGAGACAACAGTTGACAAAAAAATATATGTTGATTCGAAAATAACACATAACGAAACGAAACAGAAGATCACAGAAGAGTAAGAGAAGAGAAATTACCTTAAAGAAGATGGGTGTAGGTAATGGACTATTCGAAAATATTTTAATGTGATTTTCACTTGAAATAAGTTGAGTATTGATTTAAATTTTCTAATAAACATTATTAGAATGTTTCAAGTTGGAAAGATGTTGAAGATTCAACAAGTGTTTGAAGAATAAGATGTTGGAGCACTTGAAGCTTACATGGAGCACTTGCTGTTGACATGGATCACTTGCTGAAAGCTAGTTGGATCATCATGATCTAATATGGCATATCTAGATCATATGTGGAGCATCAAGACACTGATGCATCATTTGGAATATTGATGGCTCATCAGAAACATTGTTGATTCATCCACAACTCTATGGCTCAACAAGAGTTGATGGCTCAACAAGAACACTTGGTGGCTCAACTCAAGTTCATGTATTAACATGATCATATTGATGGCTCAACAAGAATGCACATGGAACATCATGTACGATGAAGTCACATCCAAATTCTCAAAGGAACATAAATTTCGTCCAATGTCCATCATGAACATGTGGTGGTACATCTTCAAGTTCAAGATGCAGTCCAACATTCTAGAAACTACTCAACATGATCAACAACACTTTTGGAAGTTAATGACATCTAAGAAGAAAATTGAACAACATGATGTTGATGTTGCTCATCACTTTTTCAATGTTGATCAAGAAGGTTCAAGAATTATGAAGACTCATAACTAGGATGGAAACCTAACGGAATACTAATGGAATTGGAATATTCCATCCATTCTTCGTAAAGTAGGGCAAAGGTGTTAACTGATGACTAAGTCATGATGATGTGTCAACACCTGATTGGTCAAGCCATGTCATGGGCTTTTCCAAAGCCTATAAATAGGCCCCTTGGGACCCATTATAAAGTTTCACTTCCTTGCTCATTTCAGATCATTTTGCACAATTGTTGTTTAGATTAGTCTTCAGAGAGCCATTTGAGTGGTTTAGCTTGTCTATCATTCAAACACTTGTAACAGAATCTTGATGAATATGAGACACTTTTGAATCATTGATCTTGAACATATATAAAACGTTTTTATCTTTAACTTTGTGATTCACAACTCTTTATTTTCCGCATTACTTTCCACTTGACGATTCTGAAACTCTGTTTTAGTATTTTCAACACTTGGACTACTCTAGTCTAGGTTTACTGAATTTTCCTCATTTCTTCAGTTGGTATTAGAGCTCGAGTGATTGACTTTGAGACTTATAAAACTTTTCACAAATTTTTTTGAAGTTTCAAACTAGTATCACCTGTTCTCAATGGCAAGTGTGAATCAAAACCAAAATGTTCTCTATTCAGTGTCAGTTGCAAACAGTCTTGGAGTAGGAAATCGTGCACCTGTCCTTATGCCTAGTGAATACACTTCTTGGGCAGGTCGCATCAAGTACTACCTGGAAGGTCATGACTCTGACATCTGGACCTTCATCTCCATTGGAAAACATACTCCATAATTTTTGAAGGACATCAGAGTTCCTGAAGCTGATGTCTCTCCTGAAACCTCCAAAGTTATCTCTGGATCTGTTTCCTCTACTGCTAAACTTGGTGACAGGAAAATCAAGAAGTTTGAGGCTAAGCCAATGGAAGAGCTGTTATCTGGAATTCCTCATGATAACTATGAGTAACTTCCCGATGAAGAAAAGAGTTCACCCTTTAATGTCTAGAATGCACTAAAGAAACAATTTGAGGGAACTGATAAGATTCTTGCAAATAGGAAGAAAGCTGCATTGACAGACATGGACAACTTCAAGATGTTACCCCATGAAACTCTCTTTGATGCATATTCTAGGTATAACATTGTTGTCAACAGGGTGAATAAACTCAAAGGAGAAAGATCGCAAGAGGATTTCAATCTGAAATTCTTGAACAATATATCTCCAAATTGGGATACAGTGCATATGATCATACAACAAACTACAATCAATCTAGACACCA